TATACACAATAACAGCAGCTGTACAAGTATTAACCGGAAATGAAGAATATAGTGACCAGTGTTGTGCAGAAACAAAGTCCAGAAAGTCCAGTGTGTGTGTAAGAACCATATGTGTGGGTCAGGACTGTGTGGTGGTGTGATTGAGAGACCGTATCGCCTGCAGGAAGAAGCTCCTCCTCAGTCTCTCTGGTTGGTTAAAAGCACAAATGTGTTTCGTTTGAGTTTTCTTGCGGTTCCTTTCAGAACTCGAGGCGAACGCCGCTGTGGGACATCCTCGACGAGCGGGAAAGCACAGACTCCTTCGACAACGAGGACGAGGAGATGGTAACGTTCGAGCTGAGCGACATGCTCCTCATGCTGCTCGCCGCGGGAACCGACGACGAGGTGACCGATTCAGAGGACGAGTGGGACTTGTTTCACGAGGAGCTGGACGATTTCTATGAGATTTACCTATAGCAGCCCCGACCGCCGGCGCCCTACATCCACCCCTCACCTCCCCGTATATACTAGACACTAGAATGGACTGTCTTGTGCGAGTGATGGACAGTAGCTTTCCCTCCACCCCTGTATTGTGGCAGTGCCTTTAAGCAGGCCATTAATAATGAACTTCTAAAATATTTAAAAAACAAAAAAAAACCAACAAGTCGGTGCACTCGTGCTAAACATTTTCTAGACATTTATTCTTGTGAGTCTTTCTCGTGTGGTTCATGTTAAAAGGAAACGATAAAAGAACTCAGTATAAAATTTAACAAAGCTTATAACTTTCTTCAAATAATAAAAATTGTCAAGTTTATTTGTGGGCGAGGGTTTGACTTCTTATCTAGCCAGGTGTTTGTACATAATCCTGAGACTTTACACTCGAGCTTACTCGGCACCATTTACTGTAATCGTGAGGCCGTGTTGTACGATTTTATAGATGGTTTTTGAAGATCCCAATCTTTTTCTTTATGAACGCTGATGACAGCAAATATATTGTGCAGATGGTTAATAAATTAGCTGTAATGACGACATCTTCCACCGCCACATATTTCCTACAGTTCACGCCATTAAAGCATTTTATACCTCAACATAAACTGTAGAAAATCCAATCGATGGACTAAAGTGTCCTGATGCAGGACGGGCGTCTTTGTTACCGTCAGGCTTCACTTATTGAACAGCTCCAAAAACTCAGAGCAAACAAAGGAGTTTGTTGTTTGGAACAAATTAGGTCCACATTGTGACTGATGGCAGCTGAACAAAGGTTCCTCAGGAAACCCTCCTGAGGCTCCGTGTCACCTGTTTCTCACCTGAGACGTTGAGCTCAGATCTCTCTGACACATCAGTGTGATTCTCACTGTTACAGCAGTACTACTGAACAAAACGCAAGTGTGTCGAAGCCACTAGTGGACAGAGTTCGTGAGCTGCTCAATAACCGAAGCGTCTGCTAACCCCGTGCACCCGACGGAGCGGTCTGTGGGTGATCACCTGTATTTGGACATGAGGAGAGTATTTGCCCCGTACGTGCCAGCTGCAGTATCGGTCAGATAAACGATGTAAGCATGGACACTTTTGAAAACTACCAGCCTCTAACCCCAACCCCGGGGCCTCGAGGTAGCGCAGAGCAAGCCCTCCCAGAACCAGCTCCAAAGTCACTGCTTGAGCTCAAACGGACTTCAGTAAGCCTTGAAGCTGAGACGCTGACCCACACTCCTGACAGCTGGTGCTGACTTGTTGAATGCCACTGGAATGCATATGTTTATACTGAAATGAGTGTTTTCAATGTTCCACAGCCATCCATCTTAACTTGACATTAAAGTTTAAAAATCTTCCTGCTGTGTCGACTTCCTTCATGGATCAGCTTTACTCTGATTCTGATTAGTAGCTGTTTTTAAGAACAAATTTCAGCCTTTGTCACTTTTGTGCGATATAAAACAACAACTCTCATTTAGCTTTACTTGAATGTGTTTTGGATAATTGTCCTCCAGCCTGACGTCTCTGCTTGCTGGAGTTCTTGAACAGCCTTCGGTGCAGAATTCCTTCAGTTGCGAGACATTTAAAAATGTTCTTGAAATTCTAATGAATATTTCCGATGGTGCTAAATGTGTAAACCAGCTGCTGGTCAAACTCGTATGGCCCTTTTTGTGTGGAGATTCAAACTGGGGGTGTCCACAGACTTCTTTTCATGTGCTGTTGTAATGAATTTGTCCCAAATAACAGGCGCTTTACGGTTCGTTTCGTAACCTCCTTGCCACCCAAAGTCATACAAACCTTTATTTAGGAAAGCTTTTTTTTATTTTTACTTTCATCCTGATGACCCCCGAGATGCTCTGTGGGCTGACAGACAACAGTTCAACTTTTTGGAAGGTGTGTCCTGTTACATCTGGCGTAAAAATAACATTTCAGCAAAGGAAGATCATGCCAACAGCAAAACACGGTGGTGATAGTGTGATGGCCTGATGCTGTTCTGTGGGAAATGGAGCCATGAATTGGTGCTGCAGAGAGTGGCACAACCAGTTAATAGGTTTAGGTTTTCCACACAGAGCCAGGTAGGTCTGGATTTATTTCCCCGTAATAAACACCTGAAAGAGGAATCAGACAAACGAACATTTGGTTGATTGAAGTCCAATCAACTTCATATTTGAACGGAAGAAAAAACTAAGCTGATGAAAATTTAAAGTGAAATCTAATATCAACAGTAAAAGAAAAAAATCTGGGTTTTTTGCATCTTTACATGAATGTTTAGATCTGAATTTAACTCCGTTTCTTCACAATTTAATATATTTTGTATACAAGGAAGAGAGAAACCAAAGAACTGATCTGCTGTCAGGGATTCATCCACAGTGTCACAACCCCACCGTGAAGTGAAAGTGGAGAAACGCTGCTGGAGAGTCTTTTGAGGGTTTTATGAGATGTACTGTTTATTCACAGGAGACCATAAACCAGTAAAGAAAGCTGTGACAAACGTCCTTCTTCATTAACATTTCGGCTCCTTTGCGCTTCTTTGGTTCGTCCTCTGCAGCTCGGATTAAAAGGTAAAATGTGATCATCTCGGTTAAAAGCAGGGAGGAGCGGAGTGGGCCAGTGCCCTGTACTGTCTGTGGTCCTTTATGACAGCTCCCGTACGCCAGATGGCCAGTCCGGCCGTGATGGGCGGCTTGACACAGACCGTTGCTTTAGGAGGAACTCCAGTCCTGTTTGCTCGGAATATGTCTGTTTGGTGTGATCTGAAATCCTCCATTCGGATTAAAGAGGTCTCTGGTCTTTAAAAAGGACTCATTTTCAGTTTTGCTCTTACGCGCGTGCACCTGATGGAGACGGGACTGGGCGAACATTGAAGCCTGATCTGACCCAACGGCAGCACATGATCTCAGAAACCGAAACTAGCAGCAACTACACCGCAATCCAAGCCTTTTCAACAGCAAACCACCACTGTTACATTCTTAGACGTGAACATGTGTGAGAAACGAATGGAAATGAGCGCAAAGCAGAGGGAGGTGGAATCCGTTCCACGAGTCCGTGCCTTTCTTTGCGCCTGGCTGGTTCTCTCCACCTTTAAAGCAGCTAGAGGGAAGAAAACAGTCGAGAGGGAGGCGACAGCGCAAATACAATGGTCACTGAAACTGCAAAAGACAATCCGAAGGCCGATTATTTCCCACCCGAAGCGAGCGATTGCCCCAACTCTCCCATCTCATTTTCCTCCGAAGACGGCCAGCTAAGCAGGAGGCGCGACACCCAGACCACCAGCGGCAGCATCATCCCGGAGGACAGCGGCAGCATCCAGGCCCTGGTCACCTCATCCGCAGCCGCCGCCAGCATCATGACATCAGGGGAGTTCGTGCAGTCCGCTCCCCTGCTGGCGCACAAATCCAAGAGGAGCATGCTGTACAAGGCGCTGTGCTTCCTCCTCCTCATCTTCCAGGGCGGCGTTCTGGATTTCTACCTCATCATCTTCACGGACCTGTACTGGTGCTCGTGGATAGCCACGGACCTCGTGGTGATTTCGGGCTGGGGGATTTTCTTCATGAAGAACGCGCGGAGTAAGAGGGAGCGGGCCTGCGGCTTTCACCAGAAAAGCTCCATTTTCGGCTGCAACCTCGGAGAGTTCACCTACGCCTACCTTGCATGGCTCATCTACGTCATCGCCTGCACCCCTAAGGTGGTGCTCATCCTGGAGACCTCCATCCTGGAGCTGATCACGTTAAAGGTCCCGTTCGGAGCGACCGGCTTCAAAATCGTCATGCTGCTGTCTGCGCCGCTGCTCTTCTGCCTCATCAACTCCATCATCGAGGACCTGAACGGTTCGACGCGGCACCACTCCCAGAGCTGCTTCATGGGCACCTGCCTGGACCTGCTGGACAGCTTCACGCTTGTGGAGATGCTGCTAAGGAACGAGATCCCCACGCTTTATCTTAAATACACCGTGATCTCGGTGTACTTTGTGGCCCTGGCCGTGCCGGTGGTCTGGCTGTACGAGCTCACGGCGTCCGAGCTGCGCTGCAGGTGGCTTTGGGCCCGTTTCTCCACGGGCCTGGTGGTTAATGCGCCCCTGCTGGTGGTCAGGTGTTTCCAGGTCTACATCTACAAGATGCCGGTGTCGGTGTTCATGTTCAAAAACATCTTCTTCTTGGCCTGTAAGCTGCTGGAGCTGCTGGAGCAGTGTGTGGCGTTCCGGGGGGTCCGCAGGCTGGCTGGCGGCAGCAACCCGGCCCAGTTCTCCCACTGCGTGTCCGAGAACGACATGTGTCCGCACGGGTATGTCAATACTCTGGCTGTGGCTCAGTCCTAGAGCCGTGGCGGCCGTCTCTGCCTGTGACGGCAGGACAGACATAGCTGGAACCTGGAAAATCCCAAATACCACCGAGTGTCCGCCTCGGGATGCTGGCTTTTGGATTCACGTCCACGCGATAAGCAAAGCAGGTATCAGACAGGCAGGCAACAATAAAATAAGCAGTGGAGATGATGGCATTTAGCTGCTAAATAATAGACAAAAAACAAAACCAATCTTCTAATCAGACTGAAAAAACGAAATCTTATCTCCCGTGGCGAGCTCCTGTTGGGCCTCCCAGCTGCATCTAAACTAAAGTATTATTAAAGGGCCTTGAAGAGGCTCCGTCTCTGTGTTACCACTAACAGAGGTGGGAAGACAAATGTTCAGCATAAAATAAAAAAATGGGGTAAAGGCAGAAGTTCCATCAACTGGAGGCTGTGGAGGCCTAATGTGCTAATTCAGGTCTTTCTGTGTCAGTGGGCCCAAAGGCAGCTACGCAATGATCTCATTATTTCAGTGACTGTGATTTGAAATCTTTACTTCCAAAGCAGCTCCAGGGTCACCAAGCGCTGTCAGACTACAAGCCAGGCTCGACTCGCTAATTAAACCGCAGGGACCACATTTGGCCTTTGTTATCAATCGATGATGCTTACTACCAAACGACTTTGTGATCAATCACATGCAGAGCTGTGAAACAGTATCTGACCCTGATTTCTTTTTTGGTCGCTGTTCGCATGTTTGTCACTTCTCTGTTTCAGATCATCAGACTTTCTGATTCTAATATGATTTCAAAAATAACCCGTCTGAATCCAAAATGTACTTTTATATGAGGAATGATGATTTTATTTATTGTTGGAAAACGTTAAACCTACCTGGACCTGTGTGAAAAGGGGACTGCCCCCCTAAAGCTAATAACTGGTTGTGCCACTCTTGGCAGCAACAACTGAAATCAAGTATTTGCAATAACTGCCAGTGAGTTTAACTTCACTGTGGAGCAACTTTTCCATCAGGACTTACATCGGCCAGTCAAAAAATCGTCATGTTTTTTACCATTTAGAGGTGGACTTGCTGGTGTCCTGCTGCATAAAACCACTGTAGAGCTGAGCATTCCCGGGAAGGTCCACCACTGTGCCAGGTTTTCTTGGTGGACGGCGTTATGGTTTCCCAAAGCCTTTGACATTGTAACCCTGTCAAGCGTCCTTCTTTCACCTGTGTCCTGATGCTTTCCTTGTAGCCTGCGTCACTTTGTCAGACGCCTTCTGTGTAACAGGGACGTGCAGAGGGGGGGGCTAGAGGGGCTTGAGCACCCGCCCCTTTAAACCTCTCTGCACATCCCTGCTGTGTAATGGAGTTTTTGATTGAACAGGTCTGACCTGAAACAGGTGAACGTGACAAATATGCAAACAGAAAAGAAACAAGGAAACACTTTAACGAATACTTTTTCACACTGCTGTACACGACGGTTTGTCTGCTTTCAATACAAGTGTGAGCAGTTCTGTTGAATCCGCGGCCATATTGCAGGTGGTGGTGATGTCACACATGTTGCTCAGACGGAGGAGAAAAACACGATATAAGAAACGGCCCGTTTTACACAAATGACTTATTACTTGACAGGATGACGTTGTTTTCAGAGCAGCGCGTTCCCATTTATGTTGGAGAGTGGAAATGATGTCGCGTACCTGCCTGTGATAGCAGCTAAACTCGATGAGCTTTCTGCGTTTGGGGCAGACGGCGCTCAACGTAAGAGGTAAACGGATTTTCCAGTTTCTGCCTGGTGTCACCTGTACCAGCCTTACAACAAGCCCTCTTCAGACCAGCCAACAGGTGCTACAGTCAGACACCTGCAGGAGACCCACAACACTGCTGTGTGTGTTCAGCCTACGACCTCCGAGGGACAGCAGCTGGACTGTGCTGAGATCAAACTGCAATTTGAAAACTCCAGATTTAAGTCCTAACGCCGGGCTCTGCTCCACCTAATGTACATTAGTGTTTTCTATCAATGACAGTGATGTCTGCTGGTCGTTAATCGTACTGAAAGTAGAGTAGACTTGTGTGTAAGTTGCTTACAAACCAGCAGTGCCACGACCCCCCCGAGGCTTCTGTCAGTATTTTCTTTCACTCTGAGTTCTGACTCTGCAGTTCTCTTGGTCACAAACGGGCAGAGTTCAAGTTCTCCAATAAACAAACAAAACTAAGTGAACAAAAACCCATCAAATCAATGGCGACATCATTTCTTCATCATTTAAAGTTTTAGCCCAGAAAGCTCAGCACTCTGAGCACGTCTGTTTCTAACATACTGAAACTGGTTTCTCCACAAAATCCAATTAAAGGAGAAAAATAATGATTTTTTCAGTATATAGCAGTAATATCGCATTTAGCCACATTATTACAGCTTTGGCGGTGCTCATCAATATTCCTTCAATCTGATTTCAGCTTGTCTCACTATCAGCTGTGGAGCATTTTGGTGTAAGTGCCTCTCAGTGCGTTACGAAACAGCAGGCGACAGCTAAAAACCATAATGCAGTGGTTGGAGTTTAGCCTTCAGCTTTCTATGTGAAGGCTAAACACATGTTTGGTCATTTTTGAATTTCTAGCTCTGTTTGTTAAATTATTCTCTGCCTGGAAGATTCCAGAACCTGAGAAAAGAAAAATGTTCTGGACGTCAGCGTTTCCTTTGCTCTCTGTTCAAAGGCTTCTGTACCTGATACACAGAGTCGGTAAGAAGCTTTAAACAACACGAACACGTATGTGTATATAAATGAACTGAATTTGTATGAAAAATTCATGGTTTTCAGAGTGTATATATCATTTTACATAGATGAGACCTGAGGTGGGAGACAGTCTGCATCCAGGTGAAGCTGGGGAGGGCACAGGTATCACGATAAAGTAATTACCCCCTTCCTGATATCTTCATTGGTTTTGGCATATTTATCACACTTAAACATTTCAGACCATTAAGCAGATTGTGATATTAGATAAAGATAATCAGAGTAAATACAACCTAATAACTCGTTGTGCCGTCCTTGGCAGCAAAAACTGCAATCAGGTGTTTGCGACAGCGCCCACGGTTTGAAGGAGTTTGTTTCAGCCACATTGAAAGTCTTTGACGGCATCCACAGGGTGGAGCAGTGTGTCTGTTACACTCTTTGCTGGGTTGAATTATCTGAAGTCATCCAGGTGCTGAAACCCAGAACAGCACACTACCTCCAGCACGTCTGGCTGCTGCATTTCTTTTAAACAAGTGTGTTAACGTTCAAAGCTTCAAATGTCTCACAGCTTCACAGAATATTATCCCAAAGTCTTTATTTTATTTATGCTTTAGATAAATGTAACATCAGCCTTTGTTTTATTCCAATTACACGATTGCAGTTCTTGCTGCTGAGGGTGAAACAATCACTTATTTGGGGGGCAGAGGAGGACCTTTGTTTCTCTTTTCACTTAATCAGTGAAATTATCTTTAAAAACTGCATTTTGTATTTACTCAGGTGATCTTTATCTAATATTAAGATTTGTTTAATGATCTGAAACATTTAAGTGTGTTAACTCTGCTAATAATACTAATAATGATGATGATGATAATAACCCTAATAATAGGACTTCACATTAATAGGACACTTTTACATCAGGTGGCATTACTGGCTGACTTTGTCTCTCTCCTCCTTTATGAGCTCGTTGTTCTGTATTTTGCAATCACGTCTGGTAAAGTATTTATTATGTGTGCAATATCCAAGTCTGAGTAATCTGAACATGATTTAGTGCCTATTGCTTTGGAGATGAGTGAACTGTAATGACGACGAGTGTCGGTGTGTCCGTGACCGTGTGTGCAGCGTAGATGATTGTAGAGGAAAGACGGCGACGTAACAGAATTATGACCTGTTTGTTTCATTTGGCAGGCAGCAAACATGCTTTGCTTTTTTTCATAATTTCAGTACAGATTAGAAAGATGTTTTGTCAAGAAATGCTTGTTTCTAATGCACTTTGGTTAAATATATCTGTTTACTATATTTAAGATTTTTAGTTTCATTGAGAACAAAAGATTTTATTCAACCTTCTCACAGCAGCTGAAGGAAATTTGAGTGAAACAATACTGACACGTCTGCATGTCCAGCAGCGTGTTACCTCAGCGCTGTCCAGCTCTTTACAGGCTGAAGGACAAAGAACATATTGCAAAGCAGACTGATAATGATACCTGTCATGTACCCGGCACAAACGATGGTGTGCTCACTGTTAAAGCTAAAGCTGTATGAAGGAGTTTAAAGCCTTTGAACTTTCACTTGCAGCACTGATTGTTCAAAATGTGCACTTTGCTAAAAAGACGGTTTTACTGACAAACACTTTAAAATGTGTTAAATATGCAAAAACGTGCAGAAAATGTCCACATTATTTGGCTCGTTCTTCTCAGTGTCTCAGCTCTGCTGTTAGGAAGTGATTTAAACTGAAACTCGTGTAATGTTGTTGCACGAACCCTTAAAAGCAGTTTTCTGTTGTGTTTGTGTCGAGACTGTCTCTCTGCCTTACATATTCCAGATGCTGTTATTATATCATATGTGGTATATGGTATGACATTGTCTAAGGCAGAGCATCCAGAGAGAGTAGGGTACACAGACTTTACCAGTGGCCTCCACTCCAGCTCTGAATTTATCTCCACTCAGGGTCTCGCTTACTCCTCCCCCGTGAAGGAATAAGACAGGCTGGATCTGACACATCTAATTGAGTTCAACTGCATTTATATGGCGCCAAATTAACAACAAGTGTTGCCTTAGCATGTTCTTTATATTGTAAGATAAAGACCAATAATACACAAGTTAAAGGGGACTAACCCTCCAGCAACACCAGGGTGAGGGAGGTGCACAGGAAAACAGATACACCCACGTGGAAGAGAGGCAGAGATGAAAAATAACTAATGATTAAACGCAGAGTGGTGTATTAAACATGAGCTAAAAAGAAACATTGCATCATGGGAAGCCCCAGCAGCCTTGGCCTATTGCAGCAGGGTTTGGGGTCACCTTAAAGCCTGTCCTTTAAAGTAGAGAGGGTGCCTGTCAGATCATCAGCATTCTCCCCTGGCAAGCAAGGCTGATACGCAATCACCACACTGAATTCTACTCAGTGCTCTCGGAGCTTCCCACCCCAAGAAGGATGGGCCGTCATGGCCTGTGACAATCCTTTGTTTCTGCAGGAAATGCTAGTTAGGGTTGTAGGTTCCCTTCAGCTCGGTACTAGTGGCAGCAGTCTGTGTTGCTCCCTACAGAAACTGCCACAGGATTCTTGTCACACTTAAGGGACCTCATAGGGTCACGCTTTACCATGTTCCCTACACCATCTGGTGACCAGCTGGCCCTCTGTGGGATTTGGACAGTGCCGATGGCCTTCCATGAGCCATTTTAGCACCTGTAAATGGTGGAGTCTTTGTGAATAATGAAGCAAAGGCTAGTGGACCACTGTTGTGAGGGTAAACCTTCTTGGTCCCAGGCCCACAACCACGAACCATTCAGGTCCGTGAAGATGAGGTAGAAATCCCTTACTGGGTACCAGGTGGGAATCAAGCTTGCAACTCCCACTGCAAAGGTGTGTAATAATAATGGATTGCATTTATACAGCAAGACCCTCAAAGCACTTTACAATTCCACTATTCATCCACACACTGGAGGAGGCAGCTACAGTTGTAGCCACAGAAGTGAGGCGCCATCAACACCAGTAGGCGAAGTGTCTTCCCCAAGGACACAACGACCAGGACAGACAGAGCAGGGGATCGAACCGGCAACCTTCCGGTTCCAAGATGAGCTTCCCAGCCCCCTGCAGTCTCACCACTACACTACAGCTGCACTGACTTAAGCTGCATCTTATACATACATGTATGTGGGATAAAGAAGGTGGAGAGATAGTCTCTTCACTAAGAGAACTTGGGTTACAATGTAACCAATCGTTCTGTGAGGAGAGGACATCCCGTTAAACTGACTCCAGTTAAACACACGAGTGTACATGGAGCAGAAACTGGCTGCACTGTACCAGGATCAGTCTGTGATTGCTGCGTCTGCACAGCTGAAGTCCTGTCGGCTGAGACACATTCAGCTATCTGCAAGTTTCATGTTTAGCAGAGAAAAGAAACTTTTGCTCAAATCGTTGATTTTTTCTTTTCAATATTATTGCTTTTTAATGAGTGTTCATTGGTGTTTATAGATGTTGATAAAATGACAGACATGTTGTTGCCTTGGCTTTGTTTCTTTTATTTGTTTGCTGCTTATCATAGTTTACCATAGTACTCTAAATGATATATTTTATACTATTTTTGTATTGTTTCCTTGTGCCAGTAATCTCTGAAACACTTGCATATGTATACAGTGTTGTTGGAAACGCTCCCTCACAGTGTTTGAGGGGATTTGCACATGAAGCTTGAGACTAATACTTAGCAGGACCATATCTAGATTAAACTAAGCTGACGTGCAGTGGGTCTTTACCTGCATGAACAAGCACAGTGCAGTTTTACTGAAACTACCAAAGGCTTTAACAGACATGGGGATTCAGAGGAGCTGCTCCTGCCACACAAATCGAAATGATTTCTTCTTCTTCTTTAGCCCGTGTGAAAAACAGAGTGTGTGATTTTAACACTCCTGTATCAGAATATACAAGCTTTCCTTTTCTTCGTTTACACAGATGTTGATGAGTTTTACAGAGGGGACCTTACCTGTACTATAAAACTGTGTGCTGTATATCTGTACTGATATAATCCAATCTATGTAGCCAACTCGATGTGTAAGAAGAGTCACGCGGTCGAAACCTGAAATAAATCAGAGGACTTTCAATTAAAAACAACAGAGTGTTTTTTATTGTGGATTATGTTCAGAAGATGGTGATTGAAAATGTAACACAACAAAGCATCAAGCATAAAATAACATCTGTACAGCAAACAGGAGGAAAAAACATCAGATTTAATTTTCAGGTCCTTCAGAACAAAGACTGAAGCTTCATGATGAAACGTGCTCGTCATTCATAGCTGTGCTGTACACGTGTGAACACTAGCTGAGCAGCATCACGTCACATGACAGTTAACTACTGTACATCAGTGCACTCACCCTTAGGCTGGAAATGGAAAATGACCTTTGTCAAGGGAACAAATACAAGACTCTGATCATCTGAAAATATTCATTGATAATATCGATTTGCCTCCAACTTAAATCACTTCTTGTTTGCCTGGTTTAGGCGTCAGGCAGGCGTGTGTTCAGTTAGGCCTGAGAGGGAGCTTATCCAAGCCCCTCCCTCACCCACTGATTCACCATTAAACTTTTATTCTTGTATGCATCCATCCCTCCATCCCTGATCCTTTTCAGGGTCGTGGGGGTGCTGGAGCCTATCCCAGCTGTCTTAGGGTGGGAGGCGGGGTCCACCCTGGACAGGTCGCCAGTGTGTCGCAGGGCCAACACACAGACAACCATTCGCACTCACATTCACACATATATAGGCATATATACATGTTTAGTGATTTTCCTGCTTCCTCTCTGGCCTTTTCAACATGCAGCGAGGAGACAAGCTGACAAACAAAGAGTCTGTGCAGGCAGGGAAATGAAACAAAGTCTACTTCCTGTAAGCAACAATCACACCTGCATAGTGAGCAAAAAGAGCTATTACAAATTCATTTAAACCAAATGCAAATATTTTGTTAAACTCATGCTGTAACTGTTTTCTACAATATCACCCGCTCATGTCCCCACGACAGCCGTCTGGCCTGTCAACAATTAACAACACAAGTTTCAGAGTAACACAAATACACCGTGATCGCTAACAGTCACGCTACAATGCTGTAATGATTAATGACGCTGCTGTTTTCAGCTGCAGTACAGCTTTAAAAACATCACATTAAATGCATTTTGGATTTTTCTTTGCAGGAACCAAACTCTCAGTAATCCGTGTTCTTTATCTTTGAAAAAGACACAACTCCTACACATATTACACAAGCACATTACTGGTCAACGGTCTTTTGCTTATTGCCAACTTTTAAATGTGGAACTTTCTGGCGTTCCCTGGGATCAGCTGCTGGGAAGTCACTGGTTTGCAAACTCCCCTGTGAATGATTAACGCCAAAGAAGAAGCCGACGTGAACAGTCTGCCACAGCAACATCATGTTGCCAGTAAGAAATATCATCAAATATATGTCACACTGTAATGTCAAATTCTTCAAACAGCTCCTTCTGCAGCTTTGCCAAAGCCACCAGTGACTCGTCTTTAGATGGACATTCGTGCTGGGAGGAGTTTTTTGAGCTGTAGCCTTGATCGGAGCCACTGCTTGGTCCTTTTGGCTCCTGAGCCTCGTTCTCCTCTATCTGCACATGCTCAGAGTTATCCATCCCAGAGGGGGGGAAATGCTGCCCGGGAACACTTGTACACGACGATTCTGGAGAATTAAAGTCCAGGGAGTTCGGCAGAGCTTGGCTTCTTTGGTCCAGATAAGCTTGGTTCAGAGATATCAAGGAATCCTCCTCATTATCTTCAGTGGGAATGTGACTAAACGGTTCATCCACAAGGGAGACCCAGTTCTGTCTGGGTGGCGGTGGATTGTTTAAAGCTGGCTCAGCTACGTAGACAGACTCCGTCAGCACGTTCTCCAGGCCGGATGAATGCTGATGTCTGTCTGATGGATTGACTGCAGGTATAAGTTCTATTACTGAGGACAGCTGACTCTCCGGGTTCAGTTCAGGGGTGAGAATGTGAATGCTGCTGCTGTTTTCATTGATTTGCACGTCACGAACATAGACAGGAAACTCATCTCTGATTAGAGGGACACATTCAAGGACGGGAGGAATATGCAGCTGTTCAATAAGCATGTTGGCGTCGTTTAGGACCTCCTCTTCACTAACCACACACTGCTTCTCGAACCAGTCGGGATTTTCAAACTGGTAGGCCTGGAAGGTTTCAATGGCCGTCCTCAGAGCTCTACCAGAGGGACAGTTGAAATATTCATCTGCACCGATTCCCTCAATGTGCTTCACCTGCCCCGGCTGATACTTTTCAATGTCTAAGATGCGGAAGAACAGCTCTTCAAAGTGCTTCATCAGCCTGTATTTCACCGCAATGTCGAAAACCGACGGCACGTCTTTCTCGCTGCTGATGTCATCAAAATAAGCTACCATGTACTTGCCCAGCGTGCCTGCCTGGTGCATTTCTGGCAGAAAGAGGTTGAGAAAAGGAGTGAGCATGTCGTCTGTGGGCGATAGGAGGTCTTCCTTCAGAGTCACTCGTCCCTGACCGCACATGGCCTTCCACTTTGCCTGGACGCCTCGTGAGCACAGCACGAGAATTTTGTCCGAGGGATCTTTCAGCTGCTGCCGCTGCCACTCGAGCCAGCGCAGACGACCCACCATGCCTACCGAGGTGGAGTCGAGCAGGTCTACTAGCACCTTAGTGCCACACTTTGTCTGGAGGAAGGTGCAGAGTTTCAGCACGATGTCCCTGTACAGATGGTGGTCTTGTGAGTAGATGACCAATACTTTGGGCTTTTGTTTGACTGGCTGCACTTCCTGAACTCCCTTTGGTCCTGCACTGACATTAGTTTTCCCTGAAAGTAGAAGAGACCACGAGAGGATCATCAGCAACCGAAGAGCAAAGTTAAACCATAACATTCGTGCACAAATCGATGGAGAGCCACGTCTCCAATCAAAACCTTTGAAGTTAGAACTTGATATAGAACTTAAAGGAGACTAACCTGGCTTCCTGCAGGTGGCAAACATAACAGCTGCCATCAGTATACACATCGACACCACTCCCAGGGAAGCGAACCCGTAGTGAGGGGCATTATCTGCTGGGAATGCTGTAAGAAGCAGAAATAATTCAACGTGACACCAACAGAGTGAACAGATACCCGAGCTGCAGTAACTGCTCTGTTAGATCCGACTACACAGGCTAGCCTTCGCTCCCCATGTGCTTCAGTGAGCCTCGGCCACCCTGGAACTCACATCATTATACTTGCCAATGTTTCCTGCTGCTAACAACTATGAGGACAAACTCTTCACTTGTCCCCCAAATAGATCCCACCCACTACCTGGTGTGATGATGACTGCTTCTTACGTAGCACCTTTTTACCCTGCCCTAGCTCTCAATACCTTTACACATCTTGCCTCATTCACCTCTTCATACAAGCACTTTTTTCTACGTTTAAGTGCTTTCCATGTAACATTCGTACTCCGACAGATGCAGAAGATGCAACTGCCTGGAGCAGCCAGGCTGGAACTAAAACCCTTCCAATTAGTCAATGACCTGCTCCACCTAGAAACTTTACTTTGTTCCAAAACCAAACTATTTGGTTACATTTAAGTCAAAATTAAATGGCTGTTAAACCCACTTTTCCTCGTAGATACACAGCTGGTTTGAGTTATAATAGTAGCAACAGTAGCAAGACCAGAGCAAGCATCAGTGAGAACAGATGCAGCACATCATGAGAGGAGGAGGTGGGCTGTAGAGTGAGCAACTGTGGGCAAGCTAAAGCAGCCTAAATGGCACTCCACATGTGTGCGGGGTGGATACGTGCAGAAGCTGAACCCCCATGTGGGCCGAAACGAAACTATGTTTACGGTGTCGTAATGTTCACTAGTGTACGAGCACAGGAAAATGCTGGGAATCAAACCACCGACTTTATCGTTACTTTATAAAGTGTTGATCTGACAGAGCGTTCAGCCACCCTCTGACTCAAACGTGATACTGACCTGCAGGACCTTTGGTCACACTGGGGCAAATATTCTGAGTTTTCCTTCGACGGGTACAGTCTTCACCACATTGTGAGAAATAAGGTTTAATCTGCAATAAAGACAAAATGAACTTGTGCACCCAGGTGAAGTGGGATCCTGCAGCATGGTGAAGTATTATCAGAATTAAAATAATAATAAATATGATTAAACTAGCATCACTGTGCAGAACAGGCTTGAAAGGTTTTACCTGAACATCAAACTGGCAGCACGATCTCGGCCAACTATCCAGGCTGAATGTTACACTCAGGGTCTGATTCGCCTGAAAACGAGTTTGACCAACATTTAACAAACAACACAGTAAGAACGATGTTCTAGTCATTTGAAGATCTAGATGTTTGATTCACCAAATAAAATTCTGTTATATGTTCATGTTCAGCTTCGTCTTTTTGGAAGTGCAAATGCATGACCCTCGTAACGCCAAGTCTGGAGCGCATATTTGATACAGACATCAACCTAAAACCTGCAAATTCATCTTAAATTTATTTTGTAATAAATGGTACATGATTCAATAAATACTCCAGTTTACAATAAATTATAATTGTCTGGCAATTATTTCATCAGTCGTGCTTTACGAGGTAACATCTATATGTGACTAATATGTGATAATAATATGTGACTGTGGTTTACACACGATAAGCAGCCTTTTCTACAAGCGACGCAAAAAAAAAGAAAAATTTATTGCAGAGTTTCCTGTACTGAAAAAAATGTGTAAAAACTGGGTTAAGGTACAAAATATAGGCCACTGTGATGACAGTACTGTTGAAATGAAACTGCACACGAACTCTTTGAATACAAAAAAGATTTGAATATGTAGGATGATTCAGTTTTATTTATACCAGGTTTCTGTATCGATTTGTTGATCAATTATTGAGTCATGTACTAACAGAGACCTGATATTTCATAATCCACATTATTAATCCTTACCTTATTTAAACTGTGTTTATCCTGTTGAGAAGAGCAGCCATTGACAATAACCATGTACTTCTCACACAGGTTGTCAGGGCTGAAGCTGACAGCCAGAGCAGAGTTTCCATCAGCTACAGTGACCTGACTCAGACTGATGTTAGGCTGCCACAGACTTCCTGTTAGCAGACAACAGGACAGACGTGCTTTATAAGATTTACTTACTCTCACGGGCGTTTAGAGGTTCTGTCAGTGACGTACCTCTCTCTATGCAGAACTGTGTGTTCGTCATTTCTGGATCTTCACAATCTGAGTAAACCAAAAACAGTTTCATAAAATCAATTATAGAAGATCGTCTAAGAGCTTCACGAGTCTAAACCTGCCCTGGGACATACTTCTGTATGAATTCTGTATTTGAAAAGATCTTTATGATGAAAACGAAAAAGGATCACATCCCTTTGTCTCAAACACCTTGTACATTCAAGTGTCTTCAGGATATCTGCGGCGTGAGTTTCCCAACCAGTCTACATGTGATTTATGGAAAGGAGAGGGTGTGTCTGCACACACAGCTGGGCCTCTGATAAGTATTTAGTCCAGCTAATCATTCGAATGATTGTATAGGTTCACAAAATAACAGCAAGAAAACATCTGAACAACAATGAATAAACAGATAATCCCAAACAACTCTGAGAAAAACAAACAGGAACAACCAAACACTGGTTCTGAATTCAACTCACGAGGAACTAGGAGGTTTTTCCTGATGTCGTAGCTGCTGTGGTGCAGTTCTGGTTTGGGTATGTTGAAGACGGAGACCTGGTAGCTCTGCCCCGGATCCAGCACCAGCATATCAGCTGAGAATGACCACTGAAAGCCAAGAACAACGCTGAGCGTCAGGAGCACACATGTGAAACCTTTGCACCAGTATGAATGCCACTGCGGGACACGCTGGTGCATGTTTGATCGAACCTCACTCACACAGTGGGACGTTCTGAGCGTGATGGGTATAATCGGTGACATGAAAAAAATGTATATGGACCTATGTAGTAGTTTTCTGCCAATGGCTGCTTGAAACAACGCAGTACTTCACAGTACAGAAATCCTCGCTCATTTTTAATAATATCGATTTATTGGATATTTTTTGTATTATTTGTAATGATGAAAAAATGAACTTTAGCTGAGAGCTTTGCTAAACTTTGGTAAATTTTCTCCATCATTGCAACCGAGCAAATGTGTTGTTATGATGGTGGAGGACAGAGGATCCAGACAGCGTCAGCACAGGGATGATGCTGCGGTGCGCAGTGGTTATATCAGCCGTTCCTTTACAGGTTAAAAGTTTGCATTGAAAACAACCATCATGTTCTCCGTGTACGTTTATCCTTTGTAGTTGACTTTTATTCAGAAATCATTTGGTCAGAGCTCAGTAAACAATCATTCATTGAAGCTGAAGCTTTGTCTGCATGAAATGCTGCTAACTGCAGGGATCCAGTTACATCTACAAATAGCAACACTGAAAACCACACTCACCTTTTCTCCTGATGGACTCCTCATCGCGAGTTCGTTTTTGAACGAATATCGAACACACAGGTTCTGATTGGTGGATTCCACCAGAACATGAAGCTCGGTGGCCTTTAGGAAATGGATGCTACCTGGAGGTGAATATAGCAGAAAATATTCAGGTAAAGCCGAGAAGCACGAGGCGGTGAGAAACAAACAAAAACACGCCCACATTATCTTAATCTGGAGTAAACGCCAAGAGCGTGCAAACACGCATTTTTATCATTAATCTTCTTTTTCTTTTCCAAATAGTTTTCGTTTAAGTTTGTTTCCTGATATCTTATCAGATTTGTTTTTACTATTTGTGAAACAAAGTGTGATAAAAATCTTTCAAGGGGTTGACTCAATTTGACTTTTTAACACGTTTTATTTATTTATTTTGTTGTTGTTTATGCTGCACTTTGTGAACTCTGGTTTTATGTTAAAGTGCTTTATAAATAAAGATGGAAAACAGCCACGTTATAAGTAACTGTCCTGACATCATCAGTTTTAAAATCAGGGATTGTTGAAAAACTGATGGATCTGAGTGTTTTCATGTCTCTGATGTGTTGGTTTTCATGTATGTACTGTTGTACACGACCATCCCCGCAGACTCACTCACCATCATCCTTTAACTTCCAACTAGCCTCTAGCACTGGCTGCAGGAGTCCTGCCTCGTCTGGCCTGACGTCCACTGACACCTGCAGGTCCTCTGGATTGCTGGGAGTGTAATCATGAACTTTCAGCCACCGCTTGTCCAGACAGTTAGCTGCAAACGCACACAGAGAACAGCCAGTGTCATTGTCCCATTAGCAAAGGTTTTTAGTTTAAGCGATTGTGTTCATTGTTCGTCTCTCTTTTTGTTGCTGTGTTTCAACACTGTGTTTGTTACTTCCTGGTATATTACAGCACGACATCACAAATGACTCTTCCCAAATGTAATATTGGTGCATTTAAAGAATATCTTTTTGTTTGATTGTTTTCCAAATTCTTGTTGTCTTCCTCTGTCAGCAGTGGCTGCGCTGTCTGAACCAGGATCAAACCAAGAACTGAGCAACAGCAGCGAGAGGAAGACTGAAGCATCCACTCACTTTCACGAACTTCACAATTCAAATCCTGGAGAGGAAAAGATGGACAAACAGAGAACATCAGTAAGGAGACGTGTAGTATTCAGTATTATAAAATGCTTTCCATCGGCTCCTCTGTAGGAGCCTATTTAAGGTCCTATCAGTGCTCCTGTAGGGACTTTACTCTTTCTTTTTGTTATTTTAAGAGGAGTCACGTGAACGTAATGTTTACAACAACTGTTACAAAATTATTCAGCAAACAGCAGTTTGAATGCCCGGATGTTCTATTTCAAGTTGATAGATATTAGAGCTGTACAACGCTGTGCCTCATACACGACACAGGAACACTGCTTATCTGATAAACAGCGCTCAACCAGAACGTTGAACAGCTGTCAATCATTAGCATTGTGGGCTGTTACCAGCTAAACTGTAACCAGCTAAACTGTAACCAGATAAACTGTAACCAGCTAAACTGTAACCAGATAAACTGTAACCAGATAAACTGTAAACATAAACTGTAACATTGTTCTTCGCTACACAAACACTAAAGAAAAGAAAAAAAGATCCGCAAAAGTTTAAACACGACGTTACTTAGACATTGATCATCACATAGCTCCGTCCTGCGCCTTCACTCGTTATAGAATCAAATACAGGTGCGAGGACTGCGCTCCAAGTAAGACACTCAGTTAAATGAATTACGAACAGTGCTCATAGTTTTATTTTAAAATCCTTGTTTAGAGAAAAACTGGCCTTAAACAAAATGTCGCTCCAAACTATGTAAGGAACAATACAATACAGAACAATCTTATGTAAAGAAGTCAAAAATATCGAATTCTTTAAAAAGACAAACTTTCTTTCGCTACCAGGAAAACTCAAAGTTTCTTTTCAAGTTTGTCTAAAATTATTTTCATAACGTACACAAACTGGAACAGGAAGTATCTGTTGTGTTCGGCAAACTTGGAGCCGCTCTACTGTAAAACCTTTCTCACCTGTCGAGAGCACTTGAGACGTCCGGATAAAATCCTGAGCGTGGTCGACAGCGACACACACGTTAACAGCAGCAGCGCTCGATGGAGGCTCATTTTCACCTTTCAAATGAACAACAGTCCGCTGATTCAGAGACACACTGCTCTGTCGACAGTGAAGGAAAACCCCGACAGGGTGTAACTGGCGCTGGGCTGGAAAACTTCCTGCTCAATTTACAGTAAGTTACTAAATGCTACCTTCAGGACCCGTGGGAATTTAGACTACTATTCTGTTGACTCTGACGAGATTGAACATGAAATAATGGATGGATGGATAATTCAAGAAACACTTCAGATGATTCGTCTATTCGTTTTTTCCGAATCACGCACGGTGAACGATGAGCCGAGGCTATGGTCGGGATTTTTAAATGACTGAGCCCATCACGCTCGTTCAATTTTAAGAAACGCCTCAACATTTACATTAAACTTGAACTTGCACATTAACACTGTGCAATACAGAGACAGCAGTAAATGATGGAACAGCCTCAGTGCGCAACGTTCATAGATGTTTCTAGTGTAAAGAATTCAGCCTCCCACAAACGGTACCTGGTTCTCCCATTTTTCTCACTGACAGTGAACGAAACATCAATTTTCCGTCCTCTTCCTCGTTCTGAGGCTTCGTTACTTCGTTACTGTCGTTACTCACAAAGGCTCAAAGCAGCGTCGTGGGAAGGGCCTTGAAGTTCGCGGTGTCGGGGGCGGGACCACGAAGGTGTAACGTGCACCGTCACATGTGAATGTAACTCGGTATCATGTCGGCTGCTCACAGCAGACGAGAACAAACAGCCAGAATTAAATCGTGAACTGATCCGCACAGCCGAGAGAAATAGGCTTACGCAAAGATTTTGACGCAGATGCCACAATAATTAAATCCCGCAGGGCCGTGTTTACACATCCTGCCACGAGAGCAATCTAACAGGAACAAGTTAGTAAGCCATCAGCTGAGCAGTGAACCGACTCCGCAGGGCTGACGGTCCCCTCAATGATGTCCGTCATCGGTCAGCTGCGCTGGGGTACTTTCACCACCAGAGCTGGATCAAGGTTCCTTTATTTAGCATTTTTTAAATGAACTTTGTGCAAAATATACACTATAAACAGCATAATAAAAGCCGAGGTCTCAACCAGACCTGAGAGCAAGAACAAATAGGGTTTTTTAGGAGACTGGGCAGATCTTTGGAACAGCTTAAAATTAAATCTGGAGCCTCCACTGAAAAGCATGGATCTCAGAGTCTGCGGGAGCAGCTGGTTCATAGTCCGCGGTGCTCTGGTAGGATTATAGGGTTTCAAAAGTTCTGGCATCAAATCATTGATACTCTTAAAAACAGATAATACCATTTCAAACTGGATCCTGAAAGAGACCGGAAGCTAGTGTAAGGAGGCCAGTAGGGGAGAGAGGAGTGACATGTGCCAGTTTTACTTTAAAGCCAGAACATGACAGTAATGCTTCCAACTAAAATATGTTCATATATTCAGGAATCTGTGGGAACGATCAGTTTGGATGTGAAACACAGTATTTAACTAATTTAACGTTTTGGAGAGAATATCTTTGGCTAAACTGTACAATTGATTATTAAAGTAAAACAGTATATTTTGATAAACTGTAATGCTGTATAAAAGCTGGACAAGCTGAATCCAAAATTGCTTCTCTAAGGTTTATTTAAAGATCATTTACAACATCAAAGGTAATTTGATACAAGCCTTGTGCGCCACATGAGCACACGTTCAGAACAAATTTAAATTCTAAAGAAAATGAAATCGGCTGTAATTGTCTTCACAGGTGTGACCTAGTTCATAACATCCCACTGAAACATTTATTAATGTTTCCTATTACTTCTTCTTAATAAATGCACACTTAACCCAGCCTGCACGTGCCTCTTTGAGCCAGCTTGCAGAGACATCAGTGTCATTCCTTTGTATGTGCTTAAATACCATAAACTGGCTTTTGAGTTTGCTCAAAGTGATGAACACATAAAGGATGCTGGTGCCTTTATATGTGCTGTCAGCTCTTTGATTGGCAGGTCCAGATCTCTGAGATCCTCGTTTCTTTTTTTCCTCCGTCTGTCATTTTCACGTCATCCCGCACATGTTCATCTTCCTCGCACCTGACCAGTGGACTTCCCCTTCTTCACTGCTCCGAGTGAGCGGCAGCCCTGCCTGTCCTCACTGTTATAACTCCATGGCATGATGGTCTATTTCTATTTCTAATAATATATTTAAAGTATTCATAAGTTGGGGTGAGTTGTGCCACAACAGACAGGCCAGCTGACAGGTAAGGCTGAGGATGTGTTTGCTGTAATGTCACTGAGGACACTGGTTTCCTGTCAGAAATGAATATTGCTCCAGTATGGAAGAAATGGTGAAACACTGTGTGTGAGATACAGGAAAAATATCATCGTCAAACACGTTTCGATGATGATGTTGATTTCATTGAAAGAAAGTGTACAGTTTCCACTCCTGCCTGAGAAGCCAAGTAAGTGAAACAAACTGGACACATCTCAAACTGCACAGAGAAAAGCCCGACTGATCACTCATGGACCACTAAGAGAAGGCTATGAACTGGGGACCAGTGACCCCACCATTAGAGTTGACCAGATCTCTGTTGCTCACATAGAATTGTGGGTGAAGCATTACATTCATGACTTCAGTGCATCTATTGTGCAATTAGGACGCTGTGGGAGGGACCACTTTGTCTCCACTTTGCCAACATTATTGGCTCATTAGTGCAAATTCTGCTGCCAGGAAAATGATTTCTCCCTGCGTTACTTGTAGATGGTCCACATCTGTAAACACATCTCTCCCTGTCTACAGATGTGGCTGTTGATGTCTTTGGCCCATTTGAGGTAAAGATGAGTTGCAGGTTTGTTAAAGGTCATCGAGTTATTTTCACTTGTATGTCCAGTAAAGCAGAGCATTCAAACACACTTATTCATTGAATACCAGTTCTTGTATCCATGCACTGTGCAGACTGATTGCTAGAAGAGACCAAGTATCCCACTTCAGGTTAGACAACAGATACTCCTGCTGCTCTGCGTTATGGTGGGAAAGGCTCAATCGCACAGTCAGGACTGTGCTGAGTGCTTCATCAGCAAAGGATGAATGATGAAGGATTACAAACCCTTTGAGAGGGTTACATTTGACTTCTAGCTCACACAAAGTGATCCGCTGCTCTTCAAGCCAGAGTTTACTGTCTAATACATGCAGTACCAATCCTATCCAGCAGAGGGGAGTGATGTCCTGCACCGTGCAAAACTTTGCTCGCCATTCTCCATAATCGTTACCTTCATTTTTGTGATGTTGACGATGAAGATCACGACAGCAAACACAAAAATGTCTTTCAGTGTTTTATTGTGAAATGATCCACTTCTACAAACATCTTTAAATTTTAAAGCAAACGCATTAAAAGTCTAAAACGTGAGGCAGTGTTAAAAAAGTCCAACTATAAATTCATACTTTTTGATTTGTTGTTATGAGATGATTAAATGGCGTAACAGAGAATACATGTAACACAACGTAATTACAAAATAAAAGACAGTTAACTTGTTGTATAGATGTGTAAGCAGGTTGGAAACAGTTTAGTTTAGAAGTGGGAGGCAGTTACCGTCCTCACATTTCCTGTAGCCAACATCACAGGGACTGTCCCTGGATACGTTTTTGGACACAGTTACATCATTGCTGCAGATCATTAAATGCAAATATTCAGTTTACAATCAAAGCAATTCATCCAATATGCAAATCATTTAAATATCCACTACATATATGTGAATCAGTCGATTGATTGATTGATTCAATCAACAAGTATCATGAGAAGCAAATGAAGTAACCTCAGTGTGTAATGCATGTGTGTTGACTAAGATAATGTACTCGAGCTCCAGACATGCATATGTGCACATAATTATGAAGCATTGGACACTTTCAAATAAAACAAGAAGTAACATCATTCATTATTATAATTAACAAAAATCCACAAATGACTAATAAACTGCTAAATATTTAAACTGTCATTGTCTCCCTTTGGCGCTGTTATCGGATTGATTGATTTCACATTGGCCATTTCATAGTTTCATACAAATCACAGCTTAGATGCAGTAACAATAATCTGCCTGACGACAGCGCACACTGATGGAGGTTCGTCCTCATAAATGATCCTGCGTTGCCGTCTCACACTTTCACTACGAACGCTGACCAACCACCACTGTCCTTTTGCCATGTGTGTTGTTGTATTTCTGCACAACACTACGGGGTGATTATAAATGCAAAAGAGTAAAACATACAGGAGAAAAGTTGCTGCAATATCATTCTGCAAAGCGATGAATGTTTGCTGTAGCCCGATAGCAGCAGGTCATTATAGTTTGTATTGCACGAGATGGGTAGTAGCAGAAGCTGCTCTTTAGTAATAATATAAAGCTCTTCTGATTTCATGATAAAGGAAAAAACGGTGCTATGGAGCGCAGGCGTGTCAAAACAGCAAAGGTCCTTATTGAAACTCCCAGTCAGGGTTGGGTTCATCTTCCAGCCCATCAGAGGATCACACAGCTGGAAGTCTCTGCACTGCTCAACACACAAACGTTTTCAAGTCACATTCAGTCACACATAATGACATTATTTGACTTCTATATAACAATCTTAAATATGATCCACCCATCTGTGATAATCAGCTGTGTACCACAGGCCTCCAAGCTGGCTGTAGTTAAACCTTTACTAAAAAACATCAGGAGCCGGAGCTGCTGAAGGTTTCTCGCTGTTAAGACAGAGTATGGAGCGCGGGCTCACATGGTGTCATAGGGTTGTTGGGGTTTCTCTGTTTTCTTTGTATTATTGTGGGGTCTTTACGTTATAATATACAGCACATCGAGGCAATATATATCTATATAAATAAAACTGAACTGAACAAAGTAAAACATTGAAAATAAATGGTTGTAAAACTGGAAGCCGTGTGCATCGGGTCCTTTGTGTGCTTCTGTTCATGAATGTAACAGATTTGTAACATTTTTCCTTTCTCTGGATTGATTTGGAGTTTTCAGCGGTCATGGCCTGCCTCACATCCACGTCACTTCTCATGGAATAACAAGGGAACAGGCCCCGCCTTTCCATCAGTCTGTAAATACTAAATTAGTGTAATTACACTTTTGTTCAAAGCACTGAAATAAAACTGAAAGTCTGCTTTTCAATCATATTGATATTTTGTTGTAAAAGCTACTGAGGCGGTGTGTACAGATAAAAGTGTCGTTGTCGTCGTCCGTGTACTACTGGAAAAAACCATCCCACCTCTGCTCTGAAGCATCAGACGGCTTCATCCTCTTGGGGGCGC